GGGCGGTTGAAAACGGATGCTGAGGGCTGCGTTAAATTCACGAGAGATTTTTGTAATTTAGTACAGAGTCATTCTGAATTTATTACGAGAATTTATAAGAGAATTAATTACGAGCGTTTATTCAGATTTAACGAACAACATGCATGAAGACAAATGGTTATGTGAAAGGGTGATTCTTGCACCAAAAAATGAGAGCGTTAACAAAATAAATTCAGATATATTAAGCAAAGTAGCAGGATAAATAACAGAGTATTTGTCAGTAGACAAAGTTATGGACACAGAACAGAGCACTTCATATCCCGTAGAGTTTCTTAATTCGCTAGAGTTGTCAGGTGTGCCCTCACATAAGCTTTAATTAAAATTAGGCGTCCCAGTCATGCTAATGCGAAATTTAGATGCTCCTTCGGTTATGTAACGGGACAAGGCTGCGTGTGACACATCTTGAACGGAACATAATCGGTGCTACAATTTTGACAGGCGTAGGAAAAAGTGAAAATGTTATTATACCACGGATCCCTATAATTCCCACAGATCTTCCTTTTCAATTTTTTTTTTGTTAAAAAATTCAAAAGGTTGCAGTTCCCTATTAAGCTCAGTTTTGCAATGACAATTAATAAAGCGCAAGGGCAAACGTTACAGGCAGCGGGGGTCAACTTAAAAAAACCGTGCTTCTCTCATGGTCAGCTGTATGTAGCATGTTCGCGTGTGTCAAATGCCCAGAATCTCCACATTCTTTCCCCGAATGGAAAAACATATAACATTGTGTACAGTAGCGTCTTAAAATAGTGTTCAGTTAGTTTTTTTTTTAAATTCCCACAATCAATGAATCAGAATTCCCACAGATCTTCCCTTTCAATTCAAAATTTCCGATTTAGCTCAGTTTCTTTTCAATTCCAAATGCTGCACCTCTGACGGACCTATTAAGCTCAGTTTCCTTTCAACTCAAAAGGCTCCATCTCTGACGGATCTTTTATTTGACTCAGTTTCCTTTCAATTTAGAAAACTGCATCTCTGACGAATCAATTTAGCGCAGTTTCTTTTCAAAAGTCTGCATCCCTGACGGATAATTATGCTCAGTTTCCTTTAATTAAAAAATATCCCATTTCCATCTGGAATAAACAGGCTATTTTCATGCTTTCCTATACGCTGCGTTTCAAAACAAATAGGCTGACTAATCAATTTTGCTCAGTTTCCTTTTAATGGATGCATCTCTGACAGTTCTACAAAACTCAGTTTTCTTTCAATTCAAAAAGCAATGGATAGTTCATTTCCCAGTGACCATGTAGGCGAAGCCGCGGGTAACAGCTAGTGTATCCATATATCGTTCTAAGCTTAAATGGCTCCCAGCGTAGATGTATCAAAATTCTTCGCACGCTTTTTTTCAATCCTATATGATCCATGCACTCCCCAATACCTGAAATGCAAGTTTCAGTATTTGGGTTCTTCTCACGATCGTAACCTGCGATCCTCCGAGGGAACTACATTATGTGTTTTTCCTCGCCGTACCAAATTTATGTCTCAGTCTTTCGCCGCTGAGGCCATAAGGCTATGGAATAAATTACCCCTCATATCAGAAAACCGACTTCTGTTACTACCTTTAAGAGGATGGTGACTGATCACTACCTTTCTTCTTCCAGCAACTAACTTTCATATTTAATTGTTTCTGCTTATATGTGACTTGATATTTTAAATTATTTAAATTGTTTTAGTATAATATCTTCGTGTGTAAGTATACTTAAAATGTATGTATTATGTACTATTTAAACATTATGTATGAAATGTATCATATATTACTTAGGTCAATTGTAGTTGTTTATATTTATTTTTGTATTTACACTTATGGTATGTGTATTTATTATATTTACATTCACATATAAATTATCTACATATTTTATGGCACCTGCTAAAGTTCTCTGCTTAGCTCATGGTTGACTGGTAGAGAATGCCTAAAGGCATTAAGTCCGCCAATTGTACATTTTAAGTGCAATAAAGTTTTTAGATAAATAAATTTGTATGCTTTGTCAAATTTAGACTGATAATTTTGACAGCTAACGCCTATGAAGTTCCGTATTTTTTTAGATAAACTCTCATAAAGGATATTGTTGTACTTCATTGATGGATACTGCACAATTACGATAGTGATGTGCCACGTTAAACTATGCCATGCCTTAATAAACAACCACAGAAAACAAAAATCGGTTTGAAATAAATCGAATATATAAAAATCACATAAATATGTATTGGAATTGGCTCTTTATCAACAAAATATGTCCGATTAACGGTACTGATTCCGTATCAGCCTTATATTGTCAGCTGTTGTTCTAAGAAAAAATATGGAAACCAAAAATAGTATCTATTGATTCCAAGATGACGCCGCAATAGGCAAACATGTATACGCGTATTATAGACGTGCTAAATATCCAACACTAAGAAAATTAATAATGTCCCTTAAATACTCTGACTTATTTAAAGGCAGTTTGCAGTCATTGGCTTCGCTTGCATAAAAGCGATAAAAGAAAAATAATAATGGAGCGCACAGACATTACCTTGGCTCTTGTGGACTTTTTGAGAAAAACCAAACATATTTCAGATTGGGATAAAGTTGTATTTCTGGACGATACGCGTTTTAATGCGAACCACACTGTACTGAAATCGTGGATTGATGACCAGATGATCGTGGATTGATAACACAAAATGGGACTATCCAACCCTTTTCGGGTGATTGAGCGTGAAGTGAATATACAGTATGCAATAATGATACGTAACCAGAAGATTGAATCTAAAAACTTTATTGAAAATTTTCAATAATACCTAGAGAGGCAACAAAATAACAATTTGATAAAAAATGGTATAGCAATTTATTTGTAGATTATTATATTTCTCGGTTTACCGGTATCGGTAAAATTTTATTACATCCCCTAGTACTGTTGTTTTACACACAAATATTTCTTTTTTTAATTTTAATATTCACAAAGTAAAAATAGTTTCGACTTACTGGTGCAAGGCTACACACCACTTTTACTCAAATTTCAAACCCGGCTGTTTTTCTTACATGCAATTATCGCACAAACTGGCGTTTTTGAAATAAATTGCTCCCAGCAACAACTGACACAAAAATTGGGCAACGACTATGACGTCTAAAGAGATGGATTGACATTTATAAGTATGAATTGACACGGGCACTGCCCATTACGGGGGAGTGGGCAGTGCTATTGTGTATGTATTCTATGGTCTCCAGACGTGGTAGCCCGGTTTAGCGCTCGATGTAAATTTCACAGTACGCGAAGAAACCGGGTTCGATCTCCGCCGGCACCAATGAAATTGTTAATTGTAATTTTCAGTGCTGATTTACCTTTATACATGTAGATCTCTATGAGCCGCAGCAACCACTTACCATCAGGTGGTCTGTGTGCTCGTTTGTCACCTTATCCTATAAAAAAAAACCTCTAGGAAACCTGCATTTCTGAGAAATAAGAAAATTTTTTTTCGAAGACATGTGAAGTTCACCAGTTAGGGCAGCGTGGCGGACAATTCCTTGCCCTAAAACCCTCTCAGAAATGAACGGAGGTCTGTGCTCAGTAGTGGGACGTATATAGGCTGTAACTTTAACTTTATGGTCATGATGCTAAGTCTGATCTCTCTCCAGTCATGTCAGTTTACCGTCCCATCGGATTACGAGTGTGAGATAATAGAATGCACCTATGCTTGCGCCGATCGATGGCTACTCTCCGATGAGAATGGCTGCCATGACCGAAATTCGGTCTGGAGGACATTATTGTTATTATAATAGATCTATAGGTACACGGGTAGACTGTGTCCAGTAATAATAGCATACAGGGTACTGTACACCTATCTTATTTTTTTAGATAGTTAATGTAACAACGGGACAACGTAGTCATCTGATCTTACTCGTAGCCTATCGTTAACCGCTTACCTTGTAAGTATTATTAAGTATACTATGCTAGTTGTTGAATAGATAGTTGTTCAATTATGAATTTAAACAAAAAATTGGAATTAAACATTTTTTATTACAATAAAATAAACAGAGTCCCAACACAGGCGCAAACTTAACACACTACAAGAATTTATGTAAAATCGTATAAGAATAACCACTAAAATTTTACGCCTTTACAAAAATTGTCTACACTGCAATTTTGCGACGATATCGATAGTTGTACCATTTCAAGGCCAAAGTTCCACGTGCCAGAGTTTGCGTCGTGTGTGAGCGATTAGCGGCAGCGCCTTCTATAACGACGACGGCGGCTGCAACGACGACGACGGCGACGACAGCTGGAGCGACGGCGACGACTGCGGCGACGACGGCGTCGACTGCAGCGCCGGCGGCGACGGCGACTGCAGCTGCGGCGGCGGCGGCGGCGGCGACGACAAGGTCGACTGCGACGCTGCCGTTTTAAAATTACAAACAACAATAAGATAATACCTTACCTGTAAGGCCTTAATACCTACTTGTAAGGCCACGATGTAAGAATGTATGCTACCCTGTATCAACCCCTGGGTGCCGTAAGAGCCGACAAAGGGAAACTGAATCGAAGCCTGTGTTCCACAGAGGACTTTTATATTATGATCATGGTAAAAATAATAACATAACACAATACAAAATATAACATTTTTAAAATTGTGTTTTAATAAGCGTAAGGTTAATACTTCAAACGATCACAAAAACATTTTTCTACTTTCCATTTTGAACCCAAATCAAATATTTCAATTTTAAATAACTATGTCAAATATTACTTTTATCTACAAGTATGGAACACATAAAAGCGTCCGTAACAAACAGACAAGTAGGCGTTTACATCAGTGTTTCGTTTTTTGCAAATTTCACTACTTAGATGCAAATTAATACAAAATACTCACCAAATTAATGACCTTAGCTTTAAAAAGTCGATAAATAAAGCGTTCATAAAACTACACAACATACAGATTATGAACTGCGATGATACATACATAGATGCATAAAAATCAAGCTACTAAAAGCAGCCTTAAATACTTACACGGCAAGAACGACGGCGTCGATATCGTCTGCGACGTCTACATCTGCCAGCAGCATCCACAGACTGCGCTTCAGAACAAGAGCGACTACGATTGGCAGCCTTTTCACTAATCATGCGCCTGTTGTGAGAAAATAACTATAATATACTATTAAACTACAGCCTAAACCAAATAGAAATATACCATCTAGTTCAACTAGTAGATAGAATCTCTGTCTAGGAGTAGGGTTGCCAGTTAGTCGGGATTCGTTTGGGTACTCTCCCAACATTTTAAACGATCTCCAGATTCCCAACAAAACTCAAAATCTCCAGATTTAATAAAAGCTGAGTTAGTAATTTGACTGAACTTTGAAGTAAATTGTCCAAATACAAGTGGCGGTAATTTTATACTATCGCGGTCACCTCGTTTTTTGCCTCTCGGAAATCCAAAAATCATCCGATTTCGATGAAATATCTTATAAAAAATCTTTTAAAATTACCCAAGTGGCAATCAATTTTATACATGGTAGAGCCACGCTGCAGCTATATCATAGGAGTGATAGAGCCACACGGCAGCTTTGCTGTTTGTACGTATGGGCCGGCTCAAACCGGGGTTTGGTGAGTGTAGGTGGGCCGGAGGCCCAATTCTCCCTCCCCCCCGATCAACATGGTAGCGGAATAAAATGTTAGAATACCCCAGGAGGGTGCCAGCACCCCTGGAGAATCCCTACCTGAGCATCCACGACCAAATTACTCCACTCCTGAGCGTGGGTGCACAGGCTGCCCCTCGTAATCTGGGCGCAAAGATCCCTGCCACGCTATACGTGAATTTCTGCAATATCAGGGGACTTCATTCTAACCTAAACGCCGTCCACTACCATCTCGAGACGGCGAGGCCGGCTCTGCTCTTTCTGAGCGAGACGCAGGTGTCCTCTCCGGCTGATGCTTCGTATCTCTCCTACCCGGGGTACAAACTGGAACACTCCTTTGTGCCTCGGGCTGGAGTTTACGTATACGTCAGAGACATCTGTTCTTGAAGCCTCGGCAGTCTTGAAGGTTCAAACCTGTCTATCCATTGGCTACGCGTAGACAACGACGACCATCCCGCGCGTCTATTGGTGCCTCTTTAGGTCCCATAGCGGTAATCACGAAATAGACCGACTCTTCGTCCAAATAGCTCTACAGATTCTTTGCTACAGCAGATCCTCTCCGCAGAGATTCTGATGCTCGGCGATTTTAACGCCCACCACGTCGAGTGGGTTGGTTCACGTTTAACCGATTATGCGGGAAGATCTGTTCATGATTTTGTTTTGGAATATGGTCTGACACAACTGATTACTTCGTCTACGCAGATTCCAGACCTGACCTCTCATCCGGACGGATATCAGATTTCCGTCGACGCCCCTTTAGGCTCCTCAGGCCATTGTCTTGTCTTGAGTGTGGTGCCGCCACTCACGCTGAAATCGCGGTTGCATTCTACAGGCTGCCGCCGTGTTTGGCACTATAGGTCAGCCGATTGGTATAGGATGCGGTCTTTCTTTGCATCTTACCCTTGGGGGTGGGTTTTTTTTATAGAAGAGGGGGCAAACGAGCGTGCGGCTCACCTGATGTTAAGTGACTACCGCTGCCCATAATCAACCACAACACCAGGGGAATTGCAGGTGCGTTGCCGGCCCTTTAGAAAGGAGTAAGCTCTTTTCTTGAAAGTCCCCAGGTCGTATCGGTCCGGAAAAATCGCCGGTGGTAAACTATTCCACAGAGAGGTTGTGCGCGGAAGAAAACTCCTTTTGAAACGTACTGTGGTGGATCGCCAAGCATCCAGATGGTGTGGATGGTATCGGGACGTTTGCCGCGTAGTGCGTTCACGAAATTTGGCTGCTGGGATTAATCCGAACAATTCCTCAGAGCACTCTCCATGGTATATGCGAAATAAAATGCAAAGAGATGCAACATCTCTTCGCAGTGCCAGTGAATCGAGCCGATCGGAAAGCACTCGGTCGTCGACGATTCGAGCCGCTCTGCGCTGAATGCGGTCAAGTGGAAGGAGCTGGTACTGGGGAGCCCCAGCCCAGAGATGGGAACAGTATTCCATATGCGGCCGAACCTGCGCCTTGTAAAGTTTCTGGCGGTGTGCCGGCATGCAATACTGCTATGCTGACAAAGCTTAGCAAATTCGCCCTTCTCTTCCAAGTGACCACGAAACTGCACGTCACTCGATATGTCGACGCCGAGGATTCCGATACTGGCTGAGGCAACAAGGGGAGTGCCTTGAAACTGAGGAGATACGACAAAGGAGTTCTTTTTACCGGTTAACGCGCAAACTTGTGTCTTCTGGGGGTTGAACTGGACTAGATTTAGTCGTCCCCAATCCGAGACTCTGTTCAGCAAAGACTCGACTTCAGACACAAGTTTGTCCCGGCACTCGGAGACGTTTTCCCGAGAAATATTGGCTCTTTCTTTGCATCTTACCCTTGGGGGTGGGTTTTTTTTATAGAAGAGGGGGCAAACGAGCATGCGGCTCCCTGATGGTAAGTGACTACCGCCGCCCAGTGCTGTGTAGTACCAGTGCTGTCATCTGCATAGCAATGAATGTTACGGGTTTGCAACATATCATTGATATGCAGAAGAAACAGCGTCGTCTAGGCTCTTTCTTTGCGCCCAACTCGACCTTCGATGACGAGGGAAGTACGCCGCCGATCATCCCGCGGTGTGAGTGTTCCATGGCGGAAGTGCAGTTCACTCAGCGCTCGGTTCGCAAAGCACTCCTGTCCCTGGACATCCACAAGTTGAGTGGGCCTGACGGTATCCCCAAATTGTGCTGAGGACGTGTGCTCCAGAGTTGGCACCAGACTTAACGTATCTTTTCCGGTACTCCAACTCCCTAGGCGTTGTCCCAAAATCATGGAAGGCGGCTTTCGTCAACCCGATCCCCAAAAAAGGCAACCACTCAGACCCGTCCAGCTACAGGCCCATCGTCATCACCTCCTTGTTTTCCAAAATAATGTAATCCATTGTAAACTGCCAGCTCTTGAGTTACCTTGAGAATCACCAGTAGATTAGTGATCGCCAATACGGTTTCCGTCGTGGTCGATCAGCTGGTGATCATCTTGTCTACCTCACTCATAGATGGGCAGCGGCAGTAGTCCAAGTAGGAGGCATTGGCCATTAGTTTGTACATTGCGAAGGCCTTCGATCGGGTTTGGCACAAAGCACTTCTTTCGAAGCTCCCTTCCTATGGGCTTCCCGAGAAATTGTGCGATTGGATCACCAGCTTTCTTGCAGATTGGAGCATCAATGTCGTTGTAGACTGTGCAAGCTCCGATTACAAGCCTATTAACGCTGGTATTCCACAAGACTGCGTGCTATCACCAACGCTGTTTCTTCTGCATATCAATGAAATGTTGCAAACCTGCAAATGTTGCAAAGCAGATGACAGCACTAGTGATGCTCTCCGGGACAAACTTGTGTCTGACGTCAAGTCTTTGCTGAACAAAGTCTCGGATTGGGGGCGACTAAATCTAGTCCAGTTCAACCCTCAGAAGACACAAATTTACGCATTAACCGCTAAAAAGAACTCCTTTGTCGTATCTCCTCAGTTTCAAGGCACTTCCGTTGTTGCCTCAGACAGTATCGGAATCCTCGGCGTCGACATATCAAGTGACGTGCAGTTTCGTGGTCACTTGGAAGAGAAGGGCAAATTGGTCTCCAAAAAGCTTGGCTTGCTCAGCAGAGCGGAACAGTATTTCATACCGGCACACCGCCAGCAACTTTCCAAAGCGCAGGTTCGGCCGCATATGGAATACTGTTCCCATCTCTGGGCTGGTGCTCCCCAATACCAGCTCCTTCCACCTGACCGCATTCAGCGCAGAGCGGCTCGAATCGTCGACGACCGAGTGTTTTAGTGAGATGTTGCATTTCTTTGCGTATTTTATCGCATCTATCACAGGAGGTGCTCTGAGGAATTGTTCGGATTAATCCCAGCTGCCAAATTTCATGAACGTACTACGCGGCAAACCTCCCGATACCATCCACACCATCTGAATGCTTGGCGGTCCACCACTGTACGTTTCACTAGGAGTTTTCTTCCGCGTACGACCTCTCTGTGGAATAATTTACCACCGGCGCTTTTTCCGGACCGATACGACCTGGGGACCTTCAAAGAAAAGAGCTTACCTCTTTCTAAAGGGCCGGCAACGCACCTGCAATTCCATTGGTGTTGCGGTTATTCATAAGTTGCGGTAGTCACTTAACATCAGGAGTACCGTATGCTCTTTTGCCCCCTGAACACAGGGCAAAAGAGCATAGAACTATAAAAAAAAGTTATAGAACTATAAAAAAATTATAACTATCTATTGTTTAGTAATGATCTATTGTTTAGTAGAAATCCTTTGACAGATTTTAAAGAAGAAGTTGGTTATTAATTCTTAAATAAATAAACTATTCATCACTAGTTTTAATAAAACTGTTTTTTTTTTTGTGTACCTACAATACATTAAAATTTTCGGAAATCAATTTGTATATACAAGCCTCAGAGTAATTACTAGCATAGAGAGAGTCTTAAAATAGGAACAACATAGTCAAGTTGCGGGAGCTGCCGAGAGCTTTTTAAAAACTAATTTAAAACTAATTAAAACTACGTGTTCACAGAGTGAGATGTGAATTTATTCTGACCATTGTCTTTTTACAATTCTTAATCCTAAGCTTACAGTCTACTTAAATTACTACATACTCAGCGTTTATGTATTTATGCTGATGGACGCTTTATACGTATTATGGGTGGTGCTGGTGTAACCATAACTACATTCTCCAAAATCCTTCTTTCATTTACAAGGTGGTTGCCGTTTTTTCGTTCCATAGAAAACGTTGTCGATAAATTCATACATAATATCTTTGTTTAATTTAAAATAAATCGTAAAAAGTCCACTATGAAATCTACTTCAATTCAGCCGAGATATTTCTGCAAAATTATCCCTAGACTTAGTATGGGTTTCACAAGGAATAAGAACTGTTTGTTTAATCGACACTTAGTTTGTTTCACGGGGCGTACACAGAGGGCACTGCTACGATGGTTTTATTTATAGAATAAGGTGCTAACCGAGCACACAGTCCACCTGATGGTAAGTGGATACTGTGGCATGCCTTGTTTAAAGTTCTCCAGTAAAAAAGGTTACCGGTTCTCTACATTCAACAGAAAAGCCTTAAGCTGCTATTTTACGCTGATATTCTGTGAGCGTGATCCTACTCTGGTCGAGTCAACCCGTTCGTGCTGCAACTGTTACAAGGGCGGCACTGAAAATTTCGGGAATCAAGGAAGTGACACAACATTACTATTTAAAAATGTATTTATTGCTTTTCGAAGTATTCTCCGCGAAATTTGACACATTTTTCCATACGATGGAACCAATCATTGAAGCAACCATTCCAATCGGAAGTTGAGGTCTCCAAAATGGCCGTTTTGTAGGCGTCCACAGCTTCTTCAGGTGATGAAAATCTCTGTCCACGCAATTTATTCTTTATTTTAGGGAAAGTATAGAAATCATTAGGGCTTAGGTCGGGGTTGTACGGCGGATGGTCTAATAATTCTATGTTTTCTTGCTCTAAAATCTCTTTTTGTTCTGTGTGCGGTGTGAGAACTCGCATTGTCGTGATGGAGGATGATGCGGCGGTTGCAGTTCTCTTTACGGAGTTCAGAAACGACCTGTGGCAAACAAATGCTAGCATACCATTCTGCATTAACCGTTCTTTGTCTCTCAAGAGGAATAGTCGTAACATGGCCAGTTTTGGAGACAAACGTGGCCACCATTTTTTGCAACACTTCGTGAACGAACAATTTTTGTTGGCTTTAACTCATTTTCGAACACCCAAACTCGTGACTGGTTTTTTGTTTCGGGTTCGTACGCGTATATCCAGGATTCATCACCTGATACGATGTTGTATACAGCATTTGAGGATCCTGTGTGGAATCTTTCGAGAGTTCTGACGCACTAAGTAACGCGAGCCGCTTTTTTGCTCTTCACAGAGCGAATGCGGTATCCATCGGGAAAACAACTTTTTTACACATAATTGTTCATGCAAAATTATTTGTATTTGACTCATGCCAATGCCTAAAGTTGCCTGAATTTCGCGGTATGTTACATGTCGATCTTCCTCAATCAGCTTACGCACAGCATCAACGTTTTCTTAGGTGACTGCAGTTTTTAGACGACCTTGACGGGGATCATCACTGAGCTTGACAAGTTCACGTTGAAATTCAGCAAACCAGCGATAAATTGTGGTTTTGGATGGGGCTTCATCACCAAATGCAGAAATCATCTGGTCAGCACACTGTTTTCGTGTTAAACCACTTCGAAAGTCATAATAAATCATCGCTCTTGAATTTTCTCGAGTCAATTCCATTTTCTCAACGATTAAACAAGTTTGACAAAACCTTGTGACAAGACCGAGAATCTTTTTTTAAATAAATAAATGGTATTCGATTTTTTTAACCAAGGTGTTTTCAATTAAAAAGAACAGTGGAAATATTCCATTCCCGATACTTTTAGTGCAGCCTAGTATGGCTGCTGCGTGGCTTAGTATAAAGGCGTAAAGTAGTATAGTGATATAACAGTGGCACGACCGCGGTCTGCCTTCTTTTGTCGCTAAACACAACTACCAGGAAATCGATTACGAACGTATTACGCGCTTTCTCTCTGCTCCCTCAAGATACTATCCACCATTAATTAATTAAATACAGCCAATCAAATGTTCACTGCTGTACGTGGGGGGAATATTTGCCTTAGTTCCCCCCTCTTATCAAGTGATTTGGCAACCGTATTTTTTATCATTTTGAGTTGTCACGAAGATACTGTTGCCCCTCACGTTTCATTTCTCTGTCGTTTTTTACGATACTCACGGGATGGTCAGGAGTATTAGAAATTCGAGTATATATATATATATATATATATATATATATATATATATATATATATATATTATAATCACTTAAAAAGGCTGGACAGATTTCGATGAACAATCAGGACTTACAATTGGACCCGGTAAATGGTATTATTGTCGAGATCTATGAAACAGTCGTTCAAATCCAGGGGGTGGGGATCGTTAGTCAGCATATACAATTGGGATTACAAGTGGGATTCAACTAGCTCATGTACCATGTCTTAAGACTTAGTATTGGTACCTCCCTAATTATTAGTTTTTAATGTTTGCGAAACGAATATTTGAAATGTAATATAATATAATCATCATCACTTGATTTAAGAAATAACTTACTTGATCGTTCGAATAATAATAAGTCTAGTCCTATTTTTAGGGTTCCATAGTCAACTAGGAACCCTTATAGTTTCGCCATGTCTGTCTGTCCGTCCTCGCTTAATCTCTGTGACCGTTAGCACTAGAAAGCTGAAATTTGGTACCAATATGTGTATCAATCACGCCGACAAAGTGGTAAAATAAAAATTGGAAAAAAATGTTTTATTAGGGTAGCCCCCCTATATGTAAAGTGGGGAGTGATTTTTTAATTTCAGCCCTAAAGTGTGATATATTGTTGGAAAGGTATTTAAAAATGAATAGGGGTTTACTAAAATCATTTTTTGATAATGTCAATAATTTCGGAAATAATCGCTCCAAAAGTACCATGTGTGTCCCCCCCCCCCTCTAACTTTTTGAACCATAAGTTTAGAAAATATGAAAAAAATCTGAAAAGTAGAACTTTATAAGGACTTTCTAGGAAAATCATTTTGAACTTGGATGGAAACAACAATTTTTGTACAAACTCATAAGTGGGAACACTTATTGTGACGGACGGAAAACTACGGAACCCAACACTGAGCGTGGCCCGACACGCTCTTGGCCGGTTTTTTTTATATTTTTAGGCATATAAAGTAATAAAAATAAATAACTAAACAAAAACGAGTATGTATATTGTATATTGATGTCGACTGTAGCTAACATTGCGAACGAAATTATTATAGATTAAAGTCGTAATGTCTTGTAAAATAACGTCACTTATAATACTACTACAATAGGGATGTCATTTCTTTAGTAAATCAGAACATAAGAGTGTACTTATTCTCGTATTTGGCATAGCATAAAGAGACCAAAGATGACCACCTGACATTTTTAATTCCACGCTTGAATTATACGCAACATCTTTCAATAGATTTGTCTATTTTTGCCTTATTCGAAAATTAAATAAGAAAAAGCAAGACAAGTTTATGTTGAATTGTATCTTCTCTCTATGCATACGTATGTATGTAATTACTCTGAGATATGCACCCGATTGACTTGAAATTTAGTATAATTACCCAGTTCGCTAGTAGACGCTCACTAAGAACGGATTTTCCGATAGGGCCCATCAAAAAAAATCTTGATATTTTGAATGTAGATTCCGCAATAAAATAATATCCGACACCCAGCGAAGCGAGCGGCTATCAGCTAGTATAGTATAAAAATAGTATCTAAGAAACGCTTCTTATTAACAGTAATGGCCTCCAGACCAAATTACACGACGGTCCGTCTCAACTGGGAAATAACCTTTTGCGCAGGACATGATTATAGTGTGACCGAGTGTTTGCGTCCACTCTTAGTTTTATGGGATGGTACTTTGACCCGATTGGAGACAGATGAGATACCGGGCCAACGGCTTTACGTGTTTTTCGAGGCTTGTGGTTGAAACACCGCCAACTTCCTGGCTTCGAGCTGGTACTGAGAGTTTCTTGACAGAATAACTTTATTGAGTTTCAGATTTTAGGCCGATCCCGATTTGAACGATGTTCAGCGATCGCGTTTTGGGCCACTGGACCCTTGGGGCAGTCAGAAAATAAACATGAAAGTTTAATTCCTTATCTACCTATATATAAAATAATCTATGATAACAGTTACCTGAACTAGGATAATTCTGTACCGCAGGTGTATGTGCGAACTACGTTAATATATATATATATATATATATATATATATATATATATATATATATATATATATATATATATATATATAACTTAAAACCTTCAGTAACTTTTCCGTATCATCATATGACCAATTTCATAACAATGTTCGAAAAACATTTTCACAATCCTTTGAATGGATACAAACAACTTTGAATGCAAAAAATCTATCCAAATAATGCCTTATTCTAATTTTATTTTCGCTTACTTTATCTTTGCATTTTGCATCGGTGACCTCTCTTCTGTAGGGCAATTTTAAGTGTTGTTTTTCACAACGAATAACTGGCGCACTGAGAGTACATTACGGGAATAAGTTAGGAGCTGAATGTTGCTGCTTTTAATACAGCTCTTTGAGCTCGTTCCAGTGGTAGCAGTGCAGTTTTAGCTTCTCGTCCCTATGAGGCTATGATTTACCGCAACGATTTAACTTTTTATATTAAATTAGTGGTCAAACTATAGTCAATTTAATACTTACGTATCAACAGGACTTTTATCCTTCTGCTCGTTTGATGATATCTTCCTTTTAACAGAGGCTTTATCATGCTGAGCGTGGTCCGTGTGACGGCGAGCGGCTGCTGCCCGACGGCGCCTGCCATTTAATAATAGCAATTGTACTTTCTAGACGGATCTTAAGGATACGGTGCATGTCATTTAATGCCACTGCGCCCTCCTTTCTGCAAAGGAGGGTCGCGTTCGTATACGGCTTAGAGATCTCTAGTCAGATCGTTAAGCCAATTCCTAAAAGGTGGTGTTTAGTGGGTAAAAGTCTCATCAAACTACTTAACCACGCAGCCGGCTGCGTGGTATGCTATGAGCATTCACCGCCTCCCTCCCCCGCTTTCCGGAGGGTTGCCCATATTTGCTTCGGGCGCAAAAAAAATGTCATTTACTTTGCAGACAGATCTTACCGATCAGTAAGCTAAAGTGGCTTTTGTGTCAGCCATGGAGCGCGAAGAACCTATGACCGATAGGGAATAAAAGTTTTCGAGTGGCAGCCTCGTATCGGTAAGTAAAATATATGGCGGCCCCTCAATAGGTGGCTGACTTAGCGGTCAGCCACCGCAGAGTTTACGGCGCCTGAGGATGCCTCGTGTAGAGGCGAAACGTGTCGTATTATCGTCGTTGGTGTATCTTTCCTAGTGTAGTAGTGTTGGGAGTTGTGTTTGAATTAGTGGTGCTGGGATTAGTGCACGCAATTGGAGGGCGGGAGGAGCTCTTCAAACTGGACATCATTGCATTTCAATGAGCGAATGTACGCAAAGTAATTTTTACTAACTTTAATATAATGGATTGGAGAATAAACGACTTACTTTTTTTCTCTTTGAGGTTCCTACGAGCTTAAGCCCTTTTCTGGTAAGACTAAGTTTAATTCAGATAGCAGGCCAACATATTATTTAGTCTAACTTGACACATAGGCCATAGCGAAAGCTTTCGGTAGCCACATCTTAAAGATATATGTACAAGCGCTAGCTTAGACTTGTTCAAATAAACATCACTCTGATACTGACCATAAACGGCTCAAGTATACTTGAAACAATGTTATTTCAGTGAAAGTGTCGGATCAGGCGTGTTTGGTTGGACAATAATGGCATCGGCTGATGACGCTTTGGCAATAGTTGGCTTAATATTTCCAACTGAGAAGGCTGATCATTAAATGAAGAAATCTGATCTGACAATGTACAAAAGTAAAGGTAGCTCCCCATATCTCATCTCAGTTTTCACCTGAACTAAGGAGTTAAGGATACAAAAGAGTGATATATCTAGGGTTGTCGGAAGTGCTTTATTTAAAAGGATGTCGTCTATTTCAGATCCAAGAATAATAATGTCCCCTAATTGAAAATCTTTAAAAGAAGTCAAAACAATATCGCGCGTATTCGGCGTTCCTTCCTATAGTTGAGGTTAGAGTTAAAAAATTCACCTCAAAGTGACGCGCGATGTTAGAGAAACAAACTTCGTTTCATTGCATTTCATTCGCAATTGTTTTTTTTTTTTAATTAAGAAATGATACTATAAATGTTAATAGCATTCTATTGATAATAATATCCTTTATTTTCGTACTATATGTGTCCTTTATTTATCATAGGTCCTTTTAAAACATAAAACGGGAGCCGGCAACCCTATATATACATATATAAAGTTACAGCCTATATACGTCCCTCCGCTGAGCACAGGCCTCCCCTCATTTATGAGAGTATATATATCTATATATATACGTCTGTGAGAACAACTCTATATCATATCATGTGAGAACAACTCGTCTATATATATATATATGTGAGAATATCTCAACAAACGTGAAGGATATATATCTGTGAGAACAATAGTAGAACTTATGTTACTATATTCAAAAATCGGTTGATGTCCGTTAGTTTTGATGCAATTTTTATGTGCGTTTGAGCGGGTCTCTGGATGGTTTAGATTTACCATTGGGCCCGGTAGGTGACGCTGTTATCAAGATTCTAAAATTACCCGTGCGAAGCTGGGGCCGATGACCATATTTCACACCATCCCAAAGATCCCACTAGGTTATTATCACAAGATTATTTTTTATTATGGTAAATAGATATATCATACATAAACGTAAACAAAATTATCGCATTTGTTGAATCGCTTGAGCAAAAATATCGCGAATATTTTGATTTGGAAACATTCATTGTTAATTATTAAAACGTGTGTAAGCAGCACCCCTCTAGGTGACAAGCGTGAGTGTTTAAGATATGTAAGTTTTGAATATAGTTAATCACTTATGCTGCAGGTCTACGATAGTCTTGAGGCGCGCGGTGTAGCGTGGCGCGGCGGTGTCACTCCGCTTGCGCATGAACACCACCAGGTCTTCGTTCAACCTCTTGTCATCTTTAAGCTCTTCTTTAGGGCCGCCGCTGCTGCCCGTCATTGCCTACACAAACATACCCTTTTGACTGATGAAAATGATCTTGACTCGAATTATCAGGTCACCTGAAGGCTTATTAAACAGTAGGACGTTCTCATAGATTTTATTTATTACGAAATATATAAATAATATGCAGAAGCGTGTAGTGGCGGTGTAAGAATATCCACTACCCCATATCGTCGCGTGGGTGTCGTAAGATTCGACAGAGGGAAGTTAAAACGGAAGATGTACGGCAGCATATATCTGATGATAACTTGAAATAATAAAAAACTGAGGTTGCCAACCCGCATGCTAGGCGTCGCAGCTGTGGCTAGATTCTCCCGATTAAGCAATCTATATAGGCCTATGCACAGCAGTGGAATAGACAGTACAGTGTTACTGTAATAAGATGCCACTGAAACTCATTTATCGCGACACTCGTATTAGTGCGGGAAATCACAAAGTTATTATTACCGTCAAACAGCAAATGTAGTACGTGAGGGTAATATGGTCATCCAGGTAATATGGTTACTTTCATATAACTCAAAAACTACAGCCTTGTTTGCATAGATGTCTCTGTGATACGACAGCTCTTCATCATTGGGTGCGCAAAAAAAAACAATCAAATATTAAAGAAAGCGGTCAAAATGGACGCTACTCCCCAAACACTTCATCGACGCCATTTTGACAGTTGACATTGTAGTAAATATTTTTACTTTTATTTAGGTTGATTTTTCAAAGTGTTCCTAATTAACGCCGATGCTTGTTTGGTATATTTTTCTTAAAATTTAGTTATAGCATACGATTTTGTTTTTGTCTCAGTCCTTTTCCTAGTTTTGGTTTTATAAGGCAGCAAAGCTTAAGATGACCATATTACCTTCACGTACTTTACGTATTAAAAATATATTAGCTAGTTAAGTCCCAAACTGTCATGTAATCAGTGTACTTATATCCAGTTGAAATCTTCTTAAATTTTAATTAAATACAAATCATTCAATATTCATTACAATATTAATTTCAATAATTGCAATATTATGTATGTAATTACATGTAATATTTAAAAAAATGGTCAAATTTAAAAGCCTAACAAAAGCCGGACGGACCGGACACCGTCTAAAGTGTCGCGACCGGGCCGGGCTCCAACCGGGGTACGTACACCGTGCGTCGGCCGGGTCAGTCATTCATGCTACACCGGGCTATAGGGAACAAATATACTATTAAAACTATCGTGATATTAAGATATTTCTTACTTATAAAAGTCATCATTCCTTTAAAAAATCAACATCATTACAGCCCAGCACAAATCAACTGATAAACATAGTTCACTCCCTAACTAACTCCACAAAGCACGATCCTGAGCCACCTGCGTCCATCGACTTAATCTATTTTAATATTCCTTAAGCATAAAAAAGGTTGCAATTCACGCTTCTAATACCATATGAAAAGTTTTGAAGTATTTTTATGGAGACGAAAATAGTAACAAGCATTGATAACGATAATTCTTTAAGGATAGGAATTACAAACGAGTACACAGTCAAACTGATGGTAAGTGGATGCTGTTGCCCGTAGACATCAATATCTATCCTCGATTAAGTATCAAAATGCAGAGATGTCACCCCTGAGAACTTAGGTGGAATGCCTCGTTACTAAAAAAAAAGTAGAGTGAAAAAAGATCTTCGGATCGCATCATACAAAATATAGCAACAATATTTTGCAGATTTTATGCTGGTATTCTCGAAAACAGCATTAACGATATAGATGAAATTTTCTATTAGATGGTGTTTTGCTATTCATATTTATCTAGATAGGTAGACTGAAAATTCTTTTTTACACAAATAATGGTTGCTTCTTATTCCATCCGAATCTAAGACCCAAGAAATGACAAGGGGGTAAGCCATATTTTTAAATTTCTTTTCTATTTGTGCAGCCCTCTACAACTCATTATTCAACGTCCTAAGCTCTTCACCAAATGAAGACATGATAAGACTCGTCGTGATGAATACACGATATATTTTCGTACATACGTCTCAATATCTAAGATATTATTTATTAAAATAGATGTAATTTACAGTGGAATATTTCACTTACCGAATATTAGGTGCCGTTCACCGGCATAAAATTGTAAAAACTTCAAAAAATTTTGGTAAAACGGTAAAAATCACCATAAAATACAAGACATAATAAAATTTTCTTTGTTTTAGAAGAAAGTGATTCTTCTTTCTTTAAATTTATATCGGCTTTTAAAATTCATAAAATATTAAAAGCCAGTATCAAGAACAATTATATCCTCCTTGCTGTATTCTATAAAAATATACATATATATAATATTATAAATATTTGTAAACAGTAAAGTATTATTTGTTTATCGTTTGTGATCAGATTCAGAATTAGGTATTACCTAATTCTGAAGCTGATCGCATAGGTGTGCTAGTCTAGCCGCTCCCCGGGCTTAACAAATTGTCCAACGGGAGATTTCCTTTCGCGATCAAAGTGGTGATTGACTTTGCCTTGAGAAATCATTTATCCAGTACAGAAAGCCTCTCCGTAGGCCCCGTAACGTCCTAATCGAACCTCCAATTCACAGATCCAAATGTCGCCGGCGCATCACACACAGACACTACATATTAACCTAGTGTCACAAACACTGTTAGGACAACGGATAGGACGCAGCTAGTCTGCAGACAGGCGCGTCGCACACCCCTCCACACTGCGTACACACCGTACACCCGCGTCCCTGGGCGATAGTCGGTAGTCACCGCCAAGAACATCGAACGAAACGAGTTAACCGTCAGAGCCGGGGCCCGTCACTCTTGTTTCGACGACGGCGGTTAGATAACTCAACAATGTCAAGACGTGTTCACAAGTACACAAGATTATTTATTTTAGTGCAACGTAACATTCGTAGCGTCGCACTAAAATAAATGATCTCCAAACTTTTTAGCTAGCCCTGAGGCCGATATAGCTGTAAAAGCCATAATTCGAACAACACTGACATCACAGAAACTAGACCATTTACCCATTTAGTCCTACGTATATCGCAAGAGGTTCCTATGATATATTACAAAAAGTCTTCACAGCTTCCAATAATGGATCTCGCGGCATTCAAAGATGTGAAATGGCTACTCAGTATTAAGATTGCCAATGCCTACCAAGTGTACAGATTATCACAAATTCTCTCGGTACAGGGATGTGAAACAGTCGGCTTTTTAGGGCAGGTGACGATGATGAAAATGATGATAAATTTGCATTAGCAAGAAACATTAAGCCATCATAAAGAATAAAATTTAACGTTCTAATTTCAGCAAAATTAACTGATTGTTTGTAGGTGATTTCAGAGACGCGAGAAATGCGAGTTCGATCCCCGGCGCCACAAATGAAATTTTTGAGTTGATTTAGCATGTGCGCAGCAATGAAGGGATGTATCTTAAGGAAAATGTTTTCAGGGCGTAAATAAAATTAATTAGAATTATTTTTATTCAATATAGGTCATTACATAATACTTATTAAAAGTCATTTTTTTATTTGCCACTGATTCGGAAAATACCTCGGTCCTGGAAAGATCCCTCAAGAAAATCAGCGGAAGATGCCACTGAAATTCATTTATCGCGACACTTGTATTAGTGCAGGAAATCACAAAGTTATTATTACCGTCAAACAGCAAATATAGTACGTGAGGGTAACATGGTCATCCAGATAATATGGTTACTTTTTTATAACTCGAAAACTACAGCCTTGTTTTCATAAATGACTCTGTGATACGATAGCTCTTCATCATTCAATCAAATATTAAAGGGTCAAAATGGACGCTGCTTCATCGACGCCATTTTGACAGTTGACATTGTAGTAAATATTTTTACTTTTATTTAGGTTGATTTTTCAAAGTGTTCCTAATTAACGCCGATGCTTGTTTGGTATATTTTTCTTAAAATTTAGTTATAGCATACGATTTTGTTTTTGTCTCAGTCCTTTTCCTAGTTTTGGTTTTATAAGGCAGCAAAGCTTAAGATGACCATATTACCTTCACGTACTTTAGTATTAAAAATATATTAGTTAGATTAAGTCCCAAACTGTCATGTAATCAGTGTACTTATATCGAGTTGAAATCTTCTTAAATTTTAATTAAATAAATCATTCAATATTCATTACAATATTAATTTCAATAATTGCAATATTATGTATGTAATTACATGTAATATGTTAAAAAATGGTCAAATTTAAAAGCCTAACAAAAGCCGGACGGACCGGACATCGTCTAAAGCATGATTCACGCTATACCGAGTCGCGACCGGGTCGGGCTCCAGTCGGGGTACGTACACCGTGCGTCGGCCGGGTCAGTCATTCATGGTACACCGGGCTATAGGGAACAAATATACTATTAAAACTATCGTGATATTAAGATATTTCTTACTTATAAAAGTCATCATTCCTTTAAAAAATCAACATCATTACAGCCCAGCACAAATCAACTGATAAACATAGTTCACTCCCTAACTAACTCCACAAAGCACGATCCTGAGCCACCTGCGTCCATCGACTTAATTTATTTTAATATTCCTTAAGCATAAAAAGGTTGCAATTCACGCTTCTAATACCTTATGAAAAGTTTTGAAGTATTTTTATGGAGACGAAAATAGTGACAAGCATTGATAACGATAATTTTTTTAAGGATAGGAGTTACAAACGAGTACACAGTCAAACTGATGGTAAGTGGATGCTGTGGCCCGTAGACATCAATATCTATCCTCGATTAAGTATCAAAATGCAGAGATGTCACCCCTGAGAACTTAGGTGGAATTCCTCGTTACTAAAAAAAAGTAGAGTGAAAAAGATCTTCGGATCACATCATACAAAATATAGCAACAATATTTTGCAGATTTTATGCTGGTATTCTGGAAAACAGCATTAACGATATAGATGAAATTTTCTATTAGATGGTGTTTTGCTATTCATATTTATCTAGATAGGTAGACTGAAAATTCTTTTTTACACAAATAATGGTTGCTTCTTATTCCATCCGAATCTAAGACCCAAGAAATGACAAGGGGGATAAGTCATATTTTTAAATTTCTTTTCTATTTGTGCAGCCCTCTACAATTTATTGTTCAACGTCCTACATCGTCCAACGTCCTCTTCATCACATGAAGACATGATAAGACTCGTCGTGATGAATACACGATATATATTCGTACATATGTCTCAATATCTAAGATATTATTTATTAAAATAGATGTAATTTACAGTGGAATATTTCACTTACCGAATATTAGGTGCCGTTCACCGGCATAAAATTGTAAAAACTTCAAAAAATTTTGGTAAAACGTTAAAAATCACCATAAAATACAAGACATAATAAAATTTTCTTTGTTTTAGAAGAAAGTGATTCTTCTTTCTTTAAATTTATATCGGCTTTTAAAATTCATAAAATATTAAAAGCCAGTATCGAGAACAATTATAACCTCCTTGCTGTATTCTATAAAAATATACATATATATAATATTATATATATTTGTAAACAGTAAAGTATTAATTGTTTATTGTTTGTGATCAGATTCAGAATTTGGTATTACCTAATTCCGAAGCTGATCGCATAGGTGTGCTAGTCTAGCCGCTCCCCGGGCTTAACAAATTGTCCCACGGGAGATTTCCTTCCGCGATAAAAGTAGTGATTGACTTTGCCTTGAGAAATCATTTATCCAGTACAGAAAGCCTCTCCGTAGGCCCCGTAACGTCCTAATCGAACGTCCAGTTCCACTAGATTCCGACGACCCAAATGTCGCCGGCGCATCACACACAGACACTACATATTAACCTAGTGTCACAAACACTGTTAGGACAACGGATAGGACGCAGCTAGTCTGCAGACAGGCGCGTCGCACACCCCTCCACACTGCGTACACACCGTACACCCGCGTCCCTGGGCGATAGTCGGTAGTCACCGCCAAGAACATCGAACGAAACGAGTTAACCGTCAGAGCCGGGGCCCGTCACTCTTGTTTCGACGACGGCGGTTAGATAACTCAACAATGTCAAGACGTGTTCACAAGTACACAAGATTATTTATTTTAGTGCAACGTAACATTCGTAGCGTCGCACTAAAATAAATGATCTCCAAACTTTTTAGCTAGCCCTAGGCCGATATAGCTGTAAAAGCCATAATTCGAACAACACTGACATCACAGAAACTAGACCATTTACCCATTTAGTCCTACGTATATCGCAAGAGGTTCCTATGATATATTACAAAAAAGTCTTCACAGCTTCCAATAATGGATCTCGCGGCATTCAAAGATGTGAAATGGCTACTCAGTATTAAGATTGCCAATGCCTACCAAGTGTACAGATTATCACAAATTCTCTCGGTACAGGGATGTGAAACAGTCGGCTTTTTAGGGCAGGTGACGATGATGAAAATGATGATAAATTTGCATTAGCAAGAAACATTAAGCCATCATAAAGAATAAAATTTAACGTTCTAATTTCAGCAAAATTAACTGATTGTTTGTAGGTGATTTCAGAGACGCGAGAAATGCGAGTTCGATCCCCGGCGCCACAAATGAAATTTTTGAGTTGATTTAGCATGTGCGCAGCAATGAAGGGATGTATCTTAAGGAAAATGTTTTCAGGGCGTAAATAAAATTAATTAGAATTATTTTTATTCAATATAGATCATTACATAATACTTATTGAAAGTACATTTTTTTATTTACCGCTGATTCGGAAAATACCTCGGTCCTGGAAAGATCCCTCAAGAAAATCAGCGGGATATTTTTAAACGTATTTCTATATACTACGTACACGTATTACGTATAATTTTGTTTTTACAATTTTAAATGAATTTTAACAGAGCCAACATGGTGGTGATCACCTCATTCCCGGAGGTTATTTTCATTTGTGTATTTAATGAGATTGTAACAATCCTTTTTGAACAATTTTTCTTTAATAAAACATTTAAACTTGTTGTTTATCATTCTGGAGCCCCTTTTTTTCAACAATTTAATTCGTAATCGAAGATAAATGTAGATGTTATGGGCCACAGCATCCACTTACCATCAGGTGGACTGTGTGCTCGTTTGTCACCCTTATTCTATAAAAAAAATTGACAAATCCTGTAAATTTTAAATTCAACACAACTTACTGGAGCAGCGTATGGAATAATTGTTTTTGATGAGCGGAGTTCTTAGGGCAGTAGAAGGACGTATAGATTTTAATTTATAACTTTACCTTTTTACTTTTGTATGGGTGCGGACAAGAGTGTGCCCTATTTTCCCAGGATACGAAGGTGTTACAATAAGCGGAATATATCTTTTTATAACTAGAATGACCAACGAGTACCCTCCCTGATGTTAAGTGGATGCTGTGCCTCACACATTTATCTTAAATCTCTATCTATCTACATAAATATAAAACACAAAAAATGTTTCTACTGGACATACCGTTATACGCTTTGAAATCATCCTACCGATTTTGATGAATTTTTTGTGTGTGTTTTAATATGTCCCTAGATGGTTTATATTCACATTTGGACTCGATAGGTGGCGCTGTTGTCAAGATCCAGAAAACACACGCGCGAAGCCGAGGCGAATTACTAGTTAAGAATAAAAATGCAGAATGCGTTTTCACCCCTGAGGACTGATATGGAATGTCTCGTTTCCAGTATAAATATTATATTAGGGGAGAGGAATATTCAGTTCTATACACTCACCATGTATAAAGTTATCATAAAAACAAGTATTTTAGTCCTCAGGGGTGAAAATACATATGTGGCCTTCGTTTGAAGTTGGTTGGTTGGTTGTTACCAGCAGAGTTTTAATTAGCAAATTATTACGTATTCAAAAAGTGTGTTACTTTAAACCACGTTATTTGAGTTTTTATGTAAAGTACAGTGTTAATTTAGTTTTTCAGGAAAACGTTAAATCCGAGACATTTCACTGAAACGTGTATAAGACAGAAACTGAAAACGTTCATTTATTCCATTTAAAAAATATGGGTTAATGGGATCGCGGTTCAGAAACATTAAGAAAGTAGGTATTAATAATATCCAGCTGTTTATCTTAAGAGCTTTATTAGTGTGAGAATTAGAAATGTTTTCCTGTAGCAACAATGTAAGGAAATTCAAAAGTTAAAAATATATCTTCGGAATTAGTCGGCTGTTTCCGCCAGTCCGCGGGCGCCCGCTGTTCGAGATGCGTATGTGCGCGCTTGGGCGGAAGAAATTTCTCTTTAATCCTGTATTAAAATACTTTTAAATTTTTCATTTTAATTATTGTCCAGTGAAATTATTTCAGGATGTAGTGAACCATTTGCTTAAGCCGATATTAATATAACTTCATGAAATTTTCCAAACTTGTTGAAGGAATTCACAAACAGTTTAATACTGGTTCCATCGTTATTTCCGTGCCATTCATATGTCTAGATATTTTGTTCGTGTAACTCGAAATATGTTACGTTAAATGAAACTGTGTTATAAACGTACCTGAAATTAAAATATTAAATATTCCTTTCGAATATTAAACTGCAGGCAAAAAAGTGAAATGAAAATAATATGCATTCCATGACCATATTATGTCTTTTCGTCGCAGCGGACCGCGCACGTGCGTTTATTTTTATTTATAAATAGCCCAGACATAAACCTACAGTCAGCATCTTCACAATGACGTCACCGAGAGAAAGCAGTGACGTCATTGACGTCAGCTACATAGGCGATGAGAAAATCAGCAAGCGTGAACGTAAAGACTCTAAAGACCTGACAGAGTTACCACCGAGTGGTACTTGCTTACACAGAAGGCGGAGAGGCGAAGCGCCGGCTTCCTTGTCAGTTAAATCACCTCAAACTCCTTCAGAAACTGAGGGGTCTTCTCCATGTACTGGTGCTCCTACTTCAGAAGAAAATTGGAGTTTGAACGATGCCGGAACCCCAGACCCTGAAGCTTTATGCGAAAGCATGCTCCAAAGGCTAAGAGAACGCAACGATCCTCTTTCACGACGAGGAAAAGAGCTAGCTCAACGTACTAAAGATACACTTGAGGCTTTGGATCAATTAGAGAAGCTTATAGAACTTCTAGATCAATTTGTGACGTTAAAAGAACAAAACGCGCGTCTTCTCAAAAGACTGCGTGATGTCGACCATTTAAAAAGACTACACGAAGCTCATAAACGAATATACCAAGAATCGGAGAGATTAAAAGAAGAAGACAAGGAATTGGAGCTTATCAACGAGGCTTTGGACGCGGAGTTGGAATGCGAATATGGTCAAGCGATTTTTGACTCCATGATGGCTGGTGGCAGAAGTATGAAGAGGAGTGGATCTAAATGGAAAGGTCATGCGCGTTTCGGGAGTTCGTTACTTAGAAAACAAAGATCTAGATCTGCGGGAGGGGAAGAAAGCGACGTGTCTCCGACGACTCCTATAAGGCGGAGATCTGACTTGGTGTTTTCTAAAGAAGTGGAGAAGTCTAAAGTGTCTAAATGGACAAGAGTGAAAGCAGCTTTTAGGTAAGTTTCTTGCAGTAAATTAGTTACTCTTTCCTTCATTTGTCCGTATTATTTCGTAGCTAAAATGTAGGCAATAAATAAAGTAGTAAATAGATCAATTACAACTTGACAACCCGCCTGCTAAGCGTGGCATTTATAATCACAATTATAAGCGACAGTAGCCAAATGGCAGGATGCGTACCGTGAACTCAAAAGGTCGTGGGTTCGGATCCGCCACTTGACTACTTTCGTAACCACTCCTAACACAAGCATTTTCAGCTTACCACGAGTTGTTAAAAGGAATATTAGTAATGGTAATAGCAAGGTAGTTTCAATTACAAAAACACGGCAAATTACGGCAAAATCCCCCCACGTAGCAATCTGTGGGGGAGGCCTATGGCCAGTAGTGAACCTATATAGGCTGTAAAGGATGGGTTGATCGATTACAGGAAGTAAAAATACTACAATATTTTTACCACACAACAATAAACAGTGATAAGCTGACATTATATTATGTTCAATGGTTTCCAAACCAACAACCGTTTTAAAAGATAACGGTTTAATAGTAATAATATCATTTAAGATACATTATACGTGCTATTAAAAACATTACATTAATTTAATTCAACCATTTAACTAAATCGTAATTTAATATTATAAAATAATAAAGATATATAATAATAAATGTGACAAAAGCTTGATAATGTATATACATAATACATAAACGCTCACGCGTGTCACCCACAGGGGTAGACGGAGACTACTGACTTACATTTGACACGATACTAAGACAACTATCTCCATTTCTCTACATTCATATACCTACACATACATGTCGGTTTAGGAGTAATATTGATTTAATTTATATTAAATATATCACCAAAGGTCATTCCTTGCCGATTCTGCCGTCTCCGCCTTCTTATTTCGTTTGATAATTTAAAGCTATTAAAACACCAAGCTTATGAGTAAAGAGTGTTATAAAATATACTTACACTAATGGTATATCAAGAATATTAATTCATTTTTGAGATCCGTGAGGAATTCTATACCAGTCTAAACCTTAGGGTGATGCAGAGATAATAAAAAATATGAAGTACCTAAGTGTATAAAATTTAAAAAATTACAAAGGAAAATTAAAGTATATAAATATAAAACAAAATAATACATATACCCATACATAAACTCACATGTCAAAAATTGATTTAAATAAAAGAGTAAAAGAAGTAGTTGAAAGGAAAAAGCAAGAAATAACGGATAAGAATGATAGAAGAATATCGGATAACTTCCAGGCAAATATTAAAATGTTCTGGAAACTCGTAAGAACTGCCAGGGGACGTTCAAAACAGCCTATAATGAATGCTATAAGAGATGAGAATGGCTATATTCTGAATGATGAAGTTTTGAGTTTAAAGAGATGGAAGGAATATTTTGAAAGCATGTTTATGAGTGAGGAGACAACGTATGAACTGAATGAAATAGGAACTCCGAAAGAAGAGGAAGGAGGTAGCGAGATAAGTATAGATGAAATAATGAAAGCAATGAAAAGCATGAAAGCAGGTAAGGCTGCCGGTTATGATAGAGTTTCACTCGAAATGCTAAGGGCTGGAGAGGAAGTGGTGGCAGGCCTGCTGCACACCTTGTTTAATGTATGCTGGGAACTGAAGCGGGTACCGGGAGACTGGTGCAAAGCCGTGATAGTCCCAGTATATAAGGGAAAAGGGTCGTAGCGGGACTGTAAAAACTACCGCGGTATCAGCCTTCTTAGCATCGTGGGAAAATTGTATGCCAAGGTACTAATTGAAAGGGTTATGAAAGAAACCGATGGAAAAATTTGGGATGTGCAAGCGGGATTTAGAAAAGGAATGGGATGTACAGATCAAGTCTTCTCCATGCGCATGATAGCGGAGAAGTTTTTGGCCAAAAACCAAAAGGTTTTTTGTGCGTTCATGGACTTGGAGAAGGCCTATGACAGAGTGGATAGGAATGTGCTATGGCAAACACTGAACTCATTTGGGTTGAGCGCTGGCTTGATACAGGCATTGGAATCTCTTTATAGGGACTCTAGTGCTTGTGTTAGGATCAACGGGGTCTACTCCGACTGGTTTGGCATCCATAAAGGTGTCAGACAGGGCTGTGTGGCTTCCCCGTGGTTGTTCAACCTATTTATGGACAGTTGTTTGCAAAATTTGAAAGTTGAAGAATGCGGATTAAGAATGGGTGAGTTAACCATCAAATGCCTTTTGTACGCCGATGATCAAGTTATTCTTGCGTCGTCGGCGGCTGAGTTGCAAATGATGGTTACATTAATGAACAGATCATTAAAAGAAAGGGGTATGAAAGTGAACGCAAGTAAGACGAAAATTATGGTTTTTGAAAGAGATGAAAGTAAAACGATATGTGAAATAAGAATAGATGGGGAGTTGATCGAGCAAGTAGATGAGTTTGTATATTTGGGTTGCGTATTTAGCAGGGATGGGAGATATGATAAGGATATAGAACGACGAGTGAACGCAGGAAACAGAGTAAATGGGGCCCTGCACTCTATTGTGAAGAGTCAAAATGTGTCAAAAAAAGGCACGTATGGCAATTCACAATGCTGTGTTGGTCCCTACTTTAACGTATGGTAGTGAAAGTTGGGTGTGGCAGAAGAAGCACGAGAGTAGAATAAATGCAGTAGAAATGCGGTCGTTAAGGAGTATGTTAGGGCTGAATCTGAATGACAGGGTGAAGAATTGTGTGATAAGAGAAGAGTGTGGTTTGCAAGATGATGTTGTGACCAGGATTAAGAAAGGAATGCTTCGGTGGTTTGGTCATGTGGAAAGAATGGATGAGGAAAGAGTGACAAAGAAAATTTATGTTGCAGAAGTGAATGGCAGAGTCGGAAAGGGACGTCCTAGGCGAAAATTTATCGACCAAATTGGCGATTTATTGAAAACGGGCCAAATTAGGAGTACCCTTAACCGACGAGCATGCATGCGTAGATGTATGGATGTGAAGGAGGCGAGAGAGGTGTGTCAGGATCGTGCCAAATGGAAGTCTGTAGTCTCTGCCTCCCTCTCTGGGTGACAGGCGTGAGTGTTTATGTTATGTAAATTAAATAAATTACACACATTATATAATTAAATAAAAACACAGACTTATAATACTACATGCATAACGATTTTTAGCCGTTTTAATTTCAAGAGGAAGTGCAGTTCAGAGGATAACAGACTGTACAGTGAAGGAAGAATGCAGGAATCCAGATTTATGAGAGAGATACTTTAGTAAAAGGTTATTCTAAGAAGGCAGGTGTCTGTCATGGCTATAGCAAAAGTACTGAAAGTTAGAAGATAGGTACGACGTGGGAGTAGGAGACATCAGAATGGAGTATAGGGTTGTGAGTGCGCACATACTTGGTAGCCACTTAAGTTGGGAACGATAAGTAGACCCATGGTCATACTTACGAATGTGTATGACCATGTGTCTACTGAAAATGAATCGAATGCAGTCATTAAGAAGCCGATCATATTTGTCAAGAAGATCTGCATTCAGATCAAAATAACACACATCACCGTAATCAATCAGGGAAAGAATTAAGGGATTTATTTTATCAGCACAATTAATGGTTTGTTAAACTTTCAAAATTAAAAAAATTGAAATTTGAAAGTTTTTCAGGCGGTAAAGACAGCAACAGCAGGGTATCGGTTACTTTCTGGCTAACATCCGTTGGCACATCACTTGGGCATGCCAGCTCAAAGTAAAGTCAATGTTTAAGCCAAGATCCTTAACAGAAGGACATAATTTTAAAATAGAGCTATTAAAAATGATCGGCGGTAAAGGTGAAGTGTCCAATTTTTAAATTATACGATGGCTGCCTAGTATTATTTGCCTGACTTTTCTCGTCCAATCTCCAATTTTTCCATTATGTGACTATGCTAATATTTGTCTCACTAATATTTTTCAGGAGCTGATAAACAGGTTCCACAGTTCATCATTACAGCCCTTCACAAGTCCACTGCTGAACATAGGCCTCCCTCGAGTAATGCCACAAAGCACGGTCCTGAGCCACCTGCATCCATCGACTTCCTGCATATCTTACCAGGTCGTCACTCCATCTAGTGGGGGGTCGCCCTACACTACGCCTACCGGTACGAGGCTGCCACTCGAGAACCTTTCTTCCCCATCGGCTATCGGTTCTTCGAGCTATATGGCCGGCCCATTGCCACTTCAGCTTACTAATCAGTTGGGCTATGTCGGTCACTCTGGTTTTACTGCGGATATCCTCATTTCTGAGTCTATCACGCAGAGAAACTCCGAGCATAACCCTCTCCATAGCTCGCTGAGCGACCTTGAGCGTCCTCATACGGCCAGCAGTGAAGGACCACGTCTCAGATCCGTAAGTCATCACTGGCAACACGCACTGGTTGTACAATCTAGTTTTTAGAGATTGAGGTATACCTGACGAGAAGATATGTCGTAATTTCCCGAACGCTGCCCAGCCGAGTTGAATCCGTCGATTGACCTCTCGGTCGAAGTTGGACTTACCTAGTCGAACCATTTGTCCCAGTTAAACGTACTCGTCAACAACTTCGAGCATAGTGCTCCCAACAACTACCGGCATAGGTGTGACATGGACATTAAACATAATCTTTGTTTTGTCCATGTTCATCTTAAGGCCTATCCGTTGGAAGGCATTATTGAGGTCATTGAGCATAGTGCTTAAGTCCTCCAGCGATTCTGCCATAAGGACTATATCGTCGGCAAATCGAAGGTGAGTGATGTACTCGCCATTGATGTTAATACCGTATCCTTTCCAGTCCAGTATCTTGAAAACGTCTTCCAATGCAGCGGTGAAGAGTTTCGGGGATATAAAGTCACCCTGTCTAACACCTCTCTGCAGTTAGATGGGTTTCGAACTCTGGTTCTAAACTCGGATAGCAGTCGCAGCCTTCAGCACTTCAATATACCGACAGTCAACTTGGCACCGCTGAATGAACTGTAGCACTGCCCAAATTTCGACGAAATCAAAGGCTTTCTCATAA